CAAACAAGGCTTCGTTTCAGTTTTGCCCACAGATTTCCCCTGGCTTCTCATTATTCTTGAAGTCAAGCTGACCATGATACATAAGAAATGTGATGAGAAACAACGATATGTGTTTAAATTAATTACAGTAAAACACAGATTGCCCTTAATCCTTCTAAAAGTATTCTGCCTTGCTTCAAACATATTTATCTTATTATTCTTGCCAATTTCTTGTGCCAGGGATTGAACTCATGTCCTCAAACTTGCCAGGCAGGTGCTGTGCTGCTGAGCTATAACCCCATCCTCTGTTCTTGCCTCTTTCCAAAGCAGTTCTGGATGCACTTTCCCGTGAATGTCTGTAATCGTGCTGTCCTGGATGCCTCACTGCCCTGAATCAGTTCCCAGTGTTTACTTTTCACAGTCATTTTGACTCTTGAGAAGGAGCTGGACACTGTCGGGTCCTGTGTGTAAGGTGAAGGAGAGCACACCATCATGTTTTACAAGGCAGACTTTCCACTGGATGGCACTCAGTGGCAGCATTCATTATGTTTTTCAATTATAAAGACACCATGAAACAGGACTTCCGGATCTGCTTCAGAAAGTGGCAAAGATGAAGGGGTAAGTTCATTAAAAGCAAGAGAGAATATGTTGAGGGGAAGTAATAGCAATATGTCTTTTACTGTAAATTTTTTTTACTTAAAGATTCACCATATTCTTTGATCCATCCTTGTAAACTCTTCACAGAGCTTCATCTTCAGTCCCTCTCCCAACCCACATAGAATCCTTCCTTTGTTCCTAAAACAAATCTGAGAAGTGGGTACTATCATCTCAGCTCCACAGATGAGGAAAATGAGGTTGAAAGCAGCTCAGGAACTTAACAACTGTGTAACTTGGTAACCACTTGGAAGCAGAGGTTTGAAACTATATCTGACTCCAAAAGCCAAGTTCTCAGACTAAAAGGGAAAAAAAAAAAAAAAAAAAAAAAAAAAAAAAAAAAAAACCCTTGGTCTTATTTTCAATTGCTATGGGAACCACAGGACATCAATTTGCGTTAGTGGAGTTTGAGATCTTACCGCCAGGGGGCACTCTCGTGGCACTCATGGGAAAATAAGCGTATGGACCTAAAACATATTAAGACCACACCCACTGAAGCTCAACCTGCAGCTCATCTCATTTTTCCATGCAACTCATGATGTATTTTAAGATGAATGATTGAAACCTGACTCCATGTTGCTGCTCATCAAAAAAGCCCAGTTATTATCACGTTAGAGGCTAAAACCTCATTGTTACTGATATGTTCTCTGTCAATAAAACAAGTTAATTTGCACTGTGAGAATACACCTATTCCTCCACTGGATGCAGTAAAGCTACTATTGTTTTTTTAATTAGAATAAAGATGACATGTAAACACTTTCAATTCTGGATCGATTTTCAGGGTTGGGAAGGCTGAGTGGAACAGCAGGAAGATGGTTCAACTCTGCTTCAGCTCAATGTCCTCATTTTATGAACATGAAAATGAAGATTTGCAAAGGGGCAGTGATTTTATTCAGGGCCCACAGGAAGTAAAAGTCACAACAAGGAGCAGGTCTGGCTTTCCAGAACATAATTGGGAGCTAATATACTTTGACAGTTCACAGAGTACATAACAAACCCCCTGACACTACAATTCATGGAGCTGAGTACACATTGTGGGACAGCGATTCTGGTCACTCCATGAGTGTGAAGAAAAGTCGTGGTTGCCTTATGGTGTTTTCAACACCATAATTTACTTCTTCATCTGTGAAATGGGAATAATGACATGCACCTTTCAGAAGATCTAATTTCCCGTACTTTCTTCCTTCTGTTCCATGTCTGACACCTGTTCTCACCAGCAAAGCTCTCAAGGGCTCAGGAATTAAGTAAGGAGGAAAGATGTTCTCCACTTAGCATGCAAAGGCAATTTCCCTCCCAAACACCAAGGGAGGAGCTGTGTTCCAGGACCACACTATCCAGTGGGCATGGGACACTCGGTATGCTAGGCAGCAATGGTTCCCAACTGGGGGTGGTTAGACCTCTCTATGGGATGCTCAGTGGCATGTGAAGACATTTTTTGGTTTTTAAAACTAGGAAGAGGAAACCCACTGGCATTTGGTAAATAGGAGTCAGGAATGGTGTATCTCACACTGCATAGGGCAGGGCCTCACAATTATTTGGTCCCAAAGACAGTGTTGTCAAGATCAAAACTTTCTGATATTCAACATAAAGCAGGGTTACCCCTCTTTGTTGAGCAGGGTTTCTCATTTCTCTGAGCCTTATTTAATGTCCTACCTAACCTATAAAATAAGATGATTTAATTCAATGATTTAGATGTCCCTCTAAATGCTCTTTCTCTACCTATGTTTCCTGGTCACAACCCCCAACCTCTGTTGACTTTGTTTACTGCACTTTGAGACTTTATAAGGAGCAAAATAATAACAATCCATTTCTATTTCCCTAAATATAAAATGAGACTATTTGTTTGTGTTACATTATTCCTACATTGCTATAAGAAGAAAAGAAATAATGTATGTGAAAGTGGCTTATACATAGTAAGTGTGGCCTGTGACTTTCCTAGCAAGAAGTAAAAGAAACACCTACCTCCAAGTTGAGGGGACACTGACAGTCCAAAGAACCCCTCAGACAAGCCCAGCTTGTTGGGTAAATAAGCAGTGGATGGCTTATGATCTGCAGCACTACCAAAGTTACCAATGTCTCTTTGTTAAGTTACTGTCTTTTATAGAACGTTAATTGAAAGAGCAAATGCAAAATAAAAAGCAAGATGAGACCCTGGGAAAAACTGTGTGTACTCCACTCACACTCCATCCTTATCAAGAAACTCCATCCATCTCAGAAGCACTGTCCAGCCACAGCGATGGATGAATTGTGCTGCAGTCTCAGCCTTTGCTCTAGTGGGGCCCACTGTACAGCTAGAAAGGGGTGGGGACCATCACAAGATGGAGTCACATTGGCTACAGTTCAGAGGACAATTCTCACTGCACGACACCTGATAAGAATTTGTCCTTAAAGGAAAAAACATCCTAATGGATCAGCAAAGAAAAAAGTTCAAGGAAACTGTGCTACACTGAAAAATGTTCTCATCTAACTGCCTCCAGAGCAGAAGGATCTGTGAGCCCCCGCCCCCCCAAAAAAAACATATTTTTCCAGAAGTTATCATAGAATCTTTAACTTGGCAGGCAGCTTAGCAAAGTGGGTCTGGAGATCACACAGGTATTCTTTTTCTTGTGACACTTCTTTAGGAGAAATATTTCTGTCAGAAAGAAAGAAAGAAACAAAGAAACAAAGAAAGAAAGAAAGAAAGAAAGAAAGAAAGAAAGAAAGAGAAAGAGAGAAAGAAAGAAAAGAGAGAAAGAAAGAAAGAAAGAAAGAAAGAAAGAAAGAAAGAAAGAAAGAGGATGGGAGGGGAGGAGAGGGGAAGGGAAGGGAGAAGGGAAAGGGAGGAGAAAGGGAGTTCCCAGTGGAATCATCATTTCAATAGCTCTAGACACTATAATAATGGTGACAGAGCTTTGAGGCCACCAAAGCTGACTGAAAGTCAAACTCCTTCCCTTGTCATTCTCTACTGAGTGACCTAATTGTCAATAGGGATGATCATAATGCAAATCAATTAGAAGCCCATGACTTCCAAGTGAAATAAAGAATTGAATAAGTGCTTAATAAATGTTAGTATTGCTATGTTCCAAGAACCACAAATAGGTCCCAGTTCATTAATGCATTCCCTGCCCAGGCTCAACTCCACTCTGTGGAGACAATTTCTGTGAGAAATTGTCAAATCCTACTTGGTTCCTTGAAAAGATGCTTGGTACCTCCGCTGCTTCCCACCTTTACACACACACACACACACACACACACACACACATACACACCATTTTACACACCAAAACCCTACAGTGGATGTTGAACCAAGCAAAGGGTATGTTGTGATCATATAAATGTGTTTACCAGCATCTTCTTCCCCAGCCCCCAATCGCACTCCTAAGAACACAGCTGTCAGCAAACATGATGGCTCTTGACCATTTAAAAGGAAAAAAGCATCAGGGTACCTTGAACCTCTGTAAAGAAAGCACTCTTGTAATACAGAATCTGTTCTGTGGTTAAGACAAGTCCATCTTTTATTGATTAAAGGTCAACTAGAATGTAGATAAGTTAAGCTACGCAGAGACCTAACATTCTGAAATGCCAAGTCCTAAGGCTAAAAGTCTAAAAGCCATCATTCAACTTACCAGGAGATGCAACCCGGGAAGAAGAGTAGGAGCCTAGGCCACTCTGCTGCATCTGAAATCCACATTGCAGCCTGCTCCCTGGATGCTCCTACTCTGAGGGCTCACACTGAGCTCCAAAACAGACTGTTAAAAACAGCATTCTGGCCAGCTGTAATTGTGCACGCCTGCAATCCCAGCTGCAGAATAAGGACCACTGTGAGTTTGAGACCAGCGCCGTCTACACAGTCAGTTCAGGGTCAACCTGAACTACATAGTGAGGCCCCATCTAAAAAAACAAAACAAGGACAACAAAAACAGCACTCTAGGTGCTGGGGTGTAGCTCAGTGGTACAACACCTGCTTAGCATGTGCGAGGTCCTGGGTCCAATCCCCAGCACCTTGATAAATAAACAAACAAACAAGCAAACCCAGTACACACACAGTCTCACAAGCACACACAGAGTTAATGGGGTAGAGCATGAGGCAGACCCATGAACTCTGCAGTATGTTCCAAAGAGCCAAAATTGACAAGACAGAGACAGGAAGAGTAAAGAGACAGATGGGGACAGAAGCACCCATGTAACAACAGAGAGACAAGTAACAACTACTACCCAGGTCCAGTTCCTCAAATATTCCAAACAAGAAGTAGAAAGCTGCTCTTCTCCTCGTTAATCCTTCCTTTCTCAGGAGAAGGTGGCTATAATTACTAGTTTTTTTTCAACAGTGAAAGCTAATTTATACAAAGGCAATGGAATTGTTCCAGAAGCTTTTTAGCTAATTTTACCATCAGAAGAATCCCATGCTTGGCCTTAAAAAGCTTCCACTTCCTTTGAGTCTAGAGCCAGGAGGTGAGAACAAGCCAGGTCAGAAGGCAGTGTGTGGTTAAGAAACGGGAGAGGTTCAGCTCCAGGGCTGGGCCCCTGGAGAAGGCAGCTCTCTAGATTCAAGGTGCTTAGTTCAAACATGAAGCAAGCTCAAGGTTGAAAGCAGCAAATGTCAGCAGAACCACTCTGGCTGGGATAAGGGCACAGCACAGAATATCCAAGCAGCTGGATGTACAGCAGTCAGTCCTGGAAAACCTGTCCATGCAGCAAGTGGGAAGGGAAGGAAACAGGTATCTGGCTCTATTTTCTTATTCGTCACTATCTCTTCAGTGCCTCACCCAGACGCTGGTATGTAATGGTGTTGAATAAACATTAGCAGAATGCAGGAGTGCAAGACAAAGCCCGTGTGGACGCCCAGCCCTCCCCCAGGGATCCACCAAGGAATGAGAGACGATGTCACTGCCGCTCACGTGACCTTCAGGGCAATCATTGTTGAATCGCTAATTTTCAGTCATCCAAGGAACAAAAGTCCAGACACTGTCAAGTTGTAAAGGACAACTATATTGTAGGAGAAATCTAATGGAAAAGCTAACACATGGAAATGGATTTGTGGATTGAGCTCTGGAAGCAGAACGTGGGAGGGATAAAACTGGCTGCTGCCCAGGGTAAGGAAGGCTGGCAGGCAGGAGCCCCCGGCTTGTCCTGGGGCTGCGAAGTGGGGAGAGGGTCACCTCGTGACACAGATAACTCCAGGCTACGGAGAACAATCCTGCCAGCCTCGGGGAAGATCTGGCCTATCCCCTCACATTCTATCTTCTGTGCATGGGCTTCCCATGCAGGCAACAGGCAGGTAAAGAAGCAGGGTGGCCACCTGGGATGGACTCATCAGTGGCTCAGTTCTGCAAGCAGCACCCAATGCCCTGTGCAAAAGGCGCTGTGGAGACCACGATGAAGTCAATAACGTCATAAAGCTATCATCCTCCCAACAAAAGACTCACAGCTCGAGAGTCCACCTTCTGTGAGTCTGAGGCAGGCAAGGAGCTAGAAATGCAGCAATCCAGCCAGTTGAGGCTAAACCATGGAACTAACCCATTTTGTCTGGCTTCATGTCAATCAGATGTGGCCTCAAGGCAGCCTCTTTAGACTTGGCCCCTGTGCTCCTGCAGGCCAGTTATTGAGACCCAGCCATCACAGAAGTATTGTTCTCACCCCTGGATCCTGCAGAGGAAGAAGCACTAAGATATCATCTGGAGGACAAGGTATCAAACGATTTTCTACAAAGCTGGGCAAGTACAGAGATGTCCCAGAGGCCCTACATTAGAGAGAAGCTGAGTTGGCAGGGCTCTGCCCACCTTACACCCACTTCAACCAGAGCAGCTTCACTTTACTTCATATTATATATTAAAATCCCGCATAAGGTTTTATTTCAAGACAAGACTGTGAAACCAAAACGGGTTCAGGCTTCTGGTAGATTGAATTATATTGGACCAGATTTCAGTTCCCAGAAGTAGTTATACATCTCCATTCTGACCATGGCTTAATGGTGTTCAGAGTATATCTCTCAAACCCTTGGTCAAATGAATTCTTACATAAAATTTGCAAAGACTTAAAGTGGGTTTGTGCCATTGGACCTACCTAGTTTATCAGCTCTTGTCTTTTTCAGTGAGAAAAATTCACCTCAGTTAATTCTAAGACCAAGGAGGAGGAGAATCAAGTAGAAAAGACCTGGACCCAAACTACAACTTGGAGTCAAGCTAAACAGAGTCTGGTACAGATCCTAGTACAGAGTCAGTTCCTAGCTGACTTGCAAGCCTGTGAGTCCAAAATACATGCTTTTTGTAAGCTATTAGAATTTCAAAGATGTTTGTTATGCAGCAAAACACCTAACTATCTAGTGCCCTTTAAGGACCCTCCCTAGACCTTTTTTTAAAGGTCTGGCTGTTTAACAGGGGAAAATTTTTAGAAAAGTAAAAACAAAACAGCCTCAACCTGTATCACTTTGAAGCACAATTTCACACTATTGAGTAAAGCTGAAGATGCATGTACCTTACCATTCAACAACTATTCCACAGCTAGGCAATTATGTAACATGGAGTAGTTGGCAAACTTTTTCTGTGAAAAGCCAAATAGTAAATATTTTAGGCTTTGCAAGCCATACAGTCTTGGCTGCAACCACTTAATTAACTCTACTGTTTTAGTATCAAAGCAGCAATAAACATCACTAAAATGAATGTCTGTGGCTGTATTCCAATGAAACTTTTTAATGGATACTCGAACTTGTGTTTCATATGCCACAAAATGTCTAATTTTTTAACAATTAAAATATAAAAATTGGCCAATCCACCCTTCTCGTGAGCTGGTAGCAGCCATGCAGAGCTGGGAAGAGAAACAAGAAACCAATTTGCCCTTCCTGTGAGCTAGCCAGTGCACCAGCTGGAAGACAAGAAAAGCCAAGCCCTCTCCACCACCACCACCACCCAAGCAACCAGCTGATTTGGAGGATCACAGGCTAAGTTGATAACAACTGAGATACAAAAAAACAACTTAATGTTTGTACTGTTTGATTGACTTTGCAGACCCAAAGCCAGTAGTCTGAACATCTACTTAGAGGATAACAATATGCAATATAGCAACTACGGGGATTTCCTTCTGTCTCATTTTTGAAATCCAATATCATTCTCCTTTTCTCATTTTGTTCCATTTTATGATTCTGTTTTCGTTGATGTTCTGTTTTGATTGGTTTTATTCTGTTCTCTTTTGTTTGATTCTATTATGTCTGGTGGTATGGGCAGCAATTTTGAAGATAACCAGCAGCATTACAGTAGCCATTGTTGATTTCCTATTATCCTGTTTTGAAGTCCTGTATCACTTTCATTGTTATGTTTTGATTGACTTTATTCTGTTTATTTCATTTGGTTTTATCCTCTTTAAAATAAAATTTTTTAAAATGTAAATACTATCCATCACTGGATGAATGATAAACAAAATGTGGTGCATACATGCTTACAGTGGACTCAGGCTTAAAAAGGAAAGTCTGACACATACCTCAACATGGTTGAACATTGAAGACATCCTACTAAATGAAATAGGACACACACAGAACAAACTCTGTATGATTCCACTTATATGGAGTGCAAAGAAGAATCAAATTCGTGGAACCAGACATGATGGGAGGTTGAGGCAAGAGGATCTCCAGGTTCAAGGTCAGAGTGGGCTATATAAGCAAGTTCAAGGCCACTCTCTGCTACACAGCAAGATTCTGACTCAAAAAAAAATTCATGGAGCTAGAATGTAGTTACCAGGAGCTACAGTGGTACAGGGAGTTACTATTTAATCACTAGAGTTTCAGTTTGGGGTGATGAAAGAGTTCTGGAGGTGGATGGTGGTAATGAATGCAAATGAATGAATATGCTTAATGCCACGGGAAACAGTGAATCTCATATGATGCACATTTTCCACAATGATAAAAGTTTTAGGTCAAATTCAAAGCTGGATGGGGTGGTGCAGGCTTATCATCCCAGCATTTGGAACACTAAAGCAGGAAAATTGTTATGAGTTCAAGGCCAGCCTAGACTACATAGTGAGTTCAAGACCAGCCTAAACTACATAGCAAGATGGTGTCTCAAAAACACAACAGAAAAGTCAAATTCAAAAAAAAAGGGAAAGAAAGGGGCCATAGGATATGGCTCTGCCTGCAAGTATAGCATATGCCTGGCAAGCACAAAGTCTTGAGTTCGAAACCCAGTAACTCTGCCACCACAAAAAAAGAGGAAGCTATAAAAACCACTCTTAATTCATTGCACCTTACAACAATAAGTGGTAGTCAGAGTTCACTAAGAGTTTTAGTTAACAAGTACCCAAAGCAACTCTTACCCTTGGGATAGGCATGTAGCTTAGTGGTAGAGTGCTTGGCTAAGGAAGGAGGGAAGGAGGGACAGAGGAAAGAAGGAAGTGAGGGAGCAAGTGAGGGAGGGAGAGAACCTATCACCCATGTGCCCCAGATGATGACTATAAGAATTCATCATACCACTATCTATATTGTGAAAAAAAGAAAGGAAAGGAGTCTAAACATTCATTAAGAAAAGTAGAGAAATATATTATGAAATATTTATACACTAGTAAAGCCAACAATATGTGGAATATGCTACAATTTATATTCAGAATTTAAAGCCTTGTTAAATAATGCTACATTGTATTAATGGTTACATAAATATGTAGGAAAAGTATAAAAACATGCATAGGAATGATAAACATTAAATTCATAGCAATAGTTACCTTTGAAGAGGAGGAAAAAAATGGAGACAGGAATAAAACCCACAGAGAACTGCAATTATATCAGTAATGTTTTATTTCTTTAAATGAGATCTGATGCAAATATGACACAGTGTTAAGATTTGATACAGCCTAACGGCGGGTAATAAGTACTCATTACACTCTTTTCTATTCTTGTCTGATCTTTGAAACATTTCATGATGAAAAACTTAATTTAAAAAAGGTAAAAGGAAAAAAAAGCAAAGAGAGGAACATATTTTTAAGGGGAAAAAAAGAAACTATCAATTTCAAAACATGCCATTAGCAGCAGCAGGAATAGAGGGAGGAATAATCAGTCTGCCTGCCTGGCTTGCTCCGGCTTGTTCAGCCCACCAGCTTGGAGCTTGGAGAATGAACCATATGCAGACTCATGTTTCAAAGCAAAGGATAGCTCTCCCCTTGGGGTTAGGTTTGGGGTTGTCCCTCTAGGGCCGTGGACTAGGAAGACTGACAGAGCCTCAATCATCCATATTTTAGCACCATCTGCAGGAAAATCCCAGGCTCCAAGAGGAAGCCTGCCCAGACTCCTGAGGACTAACACGTCATTTTAGAGCTTCCAGAAGTTTCACTGTGGGCACCCCAGTTCTCTCACCAGTATATGCAGAGATAGGAGGAAAAAACAAACCAGGTGATGGCAATCAACTCTTCAACATTTCTTGACCTTGGTTCTAGAATACAGTCATACTGTCGGTTAGGATTAAGTTAGACTGTAAGTAACAGGAAATCAGTGTATCGGTGGTTTAGCAAGACAGGTTTATTCCTGCATCCTGTAAAAGAAGTTGAAGGATATAGAACTCAGGATAGTGTGATGGTACTATCATTCCTAGGGTGTGACGTCCTCCTGTTCCCAGATGACAGCCAGAGCTCCAGTTACCAGCTCCTCCATCTAAGTAGCAAGATGGGAGAAAGGCTCCTCCCTCATACAGGAGATCTCTAGACGGTAGTCCATAATCATTCCACAGTGTCTCATTGGCAGAACATGGCCAAATGGCCATAGTTAGCTCCAAGGAAAGTGAGCAAAGGTAGTGTTCTTGAGATAACAAAAGCCCTGCTAAAATCAGCAA